TTTATAGAAAAGCTTAGATGCTTGCAGCCTGATAAGGAACATATTCTGTCTAGGTGTGTTATTTCTTCGTCAGCCTACAAGATTCCAGTTCTGAACTTGCCCAGAGGGACAATTAGTTTTAAGAGGGACCCAGTGGTAGCAACAGGCAGACCATGTGTACCTGAAGCAGAAAATGTAAGTACTTGTCACAAAATTGATATTGCAAACCTGTCAAAAAAAAACTATTTTATATGGTTAAGATGGGTCTCTTATTAGTTAAAAACCACGTGACCACTCTTAGAATTAATTGTAAGACTGGTAAACTATTTTATATGGTTTAGATGGAGCTCTTATTAGTTAAAAACCACGTGACCACTCTTAGAATTAATTGTAAGACTGGTAAACTATTTTATATTGTTTAGATGGAGCTCTTATTAGTTAAAAACCACGTGACCACTCTTAGAATTAATTGTAAGACTGGTAAACTATTTTATATGGTTTAGATGGAGCTCTTATTAGTTAAAAACCACGTGACCACTCTTAGAATTAATTGTAAGACTGGTAAACTATTTTATATTGTTTGGATGGAGCTCTTATTAGTTAAAAACCACGTGACCACTCTTAGAATTAATTGTCAGACTGGTAAACTATTTTATATGGTTAAGATGGGGCTCTTATTAGTTAATTAAACCTGTTAAAAAGATATAAAATATCGCGTTCCAGAAAATATGTCTCAAACAGTTCTTAAAAATTTATTATCACTTTTAAATAAATATCGAGATGTTTTTGCGGAAAATATGGATGAGTTAGGTGAAATTGAACATGCAGAAATGAAAATTCGTTTAGCGGACGATAAACCGGTAACTTATAGACTTCTCTGCATTTGAAAGGGAAAATGTTCGAAAATTAGTTAACGAATTGACGGCAGCTGGTATAATTCAGGAGTCCAAATTCGGCGTATTCGAGTCCTATTATTCTGGTCAAAAAGAAAAATGGGGAAACTCGGATGTGCGTCGACTATCGCGCCCTGAACTAGAAAAATTTAAAATATTGCTATCCGTTCCCGCGAGTCGACGATCATTTGGAAGTATTGAAATGCTGTAATTTCTTTACTACGTTGTATATGGCAAGCGGCTATCACCAGATACCAACGGAAAGAGAATATAGAAAAAAAACCGCTTTTGTTGATGGTCAGAAGGACAGTACGAGTACCTTAGGATGCCATTTGGGTTGGTCAACGCACCTACTGATTTCCAAAGAACAATCAACCTTGCTCTATTAGGTTCTCTACGGCGTTGGCGTACATGGACAATATTTTGGTGCCTTCTTCTACCGTGGCATCTGGATTAATAGCTCTGGGAGAGGTTTTTCAAACATTCCGAAAAGTGGGTATTACTTTGCGTTTATCCAAATGTAATTTCTTCCAAAACCAAGTTGATTACTTAGGATACGAGATTAGTGCTGCTGGGATACGTCCTGGGTTCTTCCAAAATTGTTGTTGTGAAGAAGTTCCCTGTACCCAAGAACGTTCATCAAGTGCGTCAGTTTGTGGGTTTATGTAGTTGTCTTGGGAAATACGTCAAAAATTTTGCGCAAATTGCTTGACCTTTGACGTCTCTAACCAAGAAAAATATAATGTTTAGTTGGGGTGTAGCGGAGTATAGCGCTTTTGAAAAACTTAGAGAAGTTTTCATCAAAAGACCTATATTGCTATCTATGATCCCAAGTTACCAACCGAAGTTCACACGGCCGTATCCAAAGTTGGACTAGGTGGAATTCTCTTCCATGGACAGACCGATTCCAACTTAAAGCCAGTATTGTATTTTAGCCGCCACACAACAAGGAATGAAGAAAAATATCATTCCTATGAGCTAGAGACGCTAGTGGTAGTCAGCTCGTTGCAACGGTTTAGAGTCTATTTAACGGGATTGTTATTCAAAGTGGTAACCGACTGTAGTGCTCCAAGAACGGCAATGCAGAAACGTGGCCTCATAGTAGTAGAGTACGTCAGGGTTCGAAGATGGCACATGTCGATGCTCTTAGTAGGGATCCTATTGATCAAAATTGGTGTCACCAAGAAATTCAGGAAGCAGGCGTTTCACAAGTTGATATCACCCAGGATAATTGCATTATGTCGGTGCAAATTAAAGATAATCAATATGCAAGAAAATAATGGAAATTCTGTCTGAAACTCCAAAAACCAACGAAGATTATTTGCTGAAGGACAACAAATTATGGCAAACCCACAATGGTCCAAAATGGTATGTACCAAAAACAGGACGACGAGTGGTTATCTATGTATCATCATGATAATATATGGGTCACTTCGCTACTGAAAAAACGTTGCAGAATATCTCTAATAAATATTGGTTTCCCAGAATGCGGAAATATGTGAGCCGGTATATATCTGCTTGTTTGCCATGCGCATACAATAAGGTGCCAGCAGGAAAGCAACAAGGATATCACACAGTATCGAAAAAGTGGCAATCCCAATGGACACTCTTCACATTGACCACCTGGGGCCATTTGTTCAGAGCACGAAACGTAACTTTTACCTAGTTGTAACGATAGATGCTTTTATAAAGTTTGTACATGCTAAAGCAGTACCAACCACGAAGAAGAAACCGGTGATAACTTTTTTGGAGAGTATATTTTACCTTTTCGGTACTTCAAGACGAATAATTTGTGATAGAGGTTCCTGCTTCACAAGTGGTTTATTTCAATATTTTGTAAGGACCTTGGTATTAAACTGGTTTTAAATGTCAGAGCGACTTCACGAGCTTACGGACAGGTGGAAAGGAAGATGGAAGGAACTCTAATGAATGCCATCACTACTTCTCACGATGAGAGAAAATGGGATTCTTCACTGAGTTGTATTGTGTTTGGAATAAGCTCGGCCGTAAATACCTCTACTGGGAAGAGTCCCTTCGAACTATTGGTTGGGTATAAACCAAGGGCCATGAGTGATTCATTTTTCAGCATAGATGTAGTAGATGATGCGGTAGAGAATGCGACCTTGCAAGAGGCTTCTTTGCAAATTGAGAGTGTTCAAAGTAAGCACGAGGCATACTTTGACGCTAAACGAAAGAAGTGTCAAAAATATAATGTAGGGAACCAAGTTCCCTGGTAGGACGCCAAGAATTATTGTTTTGCGGAATAAAATTACGTTGTTTATGTTATACCATTAATTAAATTCTGTTTATTAGTTAAATATCGTTTTATTATACCTAAAATTTTCATGAAATATCGTTGTAGTCAATTTTTGGATGACCAATATGAAATTTCCTATAATTGCAATAAAAAACTAAGTACGTATGTAGCAACTTAGGTATAAAAAGAAAATGTATTTTTATTTTACTACCCACAAATCGTCCTTCATGCAAAAAAATCATGAGCAAAACCTGAAAAATATTGGTTGCAAATTAATTGATTGATTTACACAAGATTTCAAGCATATAAAATATAAATTTCTTCATTATTCTCAGACATTAAAAAATATTTTTTATCATAATTATCAGTTGATAATTAGGAATAACACTCGAGATGGTATTGACTTTTTAAAATCACCAGCCAAAAATTGCCACATTTTTCTGCAAATTCAACATTGAACGCAAAGAAGATCGAATAAATAAAGACAAGCCCCATAGATCACTCTTATCCATTTCAATTAACTGGTTTATTTATTAGTCAACCAAAATAGGAAATAGTCGTTCCACCTTGATTAAAGATTCAAGCAATACACGCACTTTTCTTGTTATTTTATTTTTAATTATTTTAAGCGTAACTGACTCAAGAAAAGTGCCACTTGAATAGTAATTTTCGAAGGAAAAGCCCTCTTTGTTAGTATCAGATTGGAAGATATTTAGATAATAATTAATTCTATACAGGGTGTTTTAAGTACCTACCTACGAAAAATCTAAGTACCTATTGAAATTAGAGTCAATTTTCTTCTTATTGGATGTTTTTACTGATTTAATTAAAATTCGGTACCTTATTCATTATTTTTATCAGAGTTGTGGGTCCAAAATTATGAAAATTAAGGTTTAGTCCTGGAAAAAACTAAAAAAACTTAAGTGTATGGCGTATAAATAAAAGGCTAACTAAGTAGGAAACGCGTCAGAAAAAATCTATAGAGAAGGCTTTGCTGTTTAAGATGAGTGTAAGTGTATGTATACCTACGTAGAAGAATTAAGCACCAGAAGTCGATCCAGTTCTGGATCTAGAGGCAATCCCAAAAGGAGGATCGAAGTTCTTGATCAAGCAGTTGTTGCAAATGTTTTCCTTCTGCATCTAGAAAACCCAAAGAAGCCTTTGAAGGGATCACTAAAGCGATTGCAATTACTTCAAATACATACCTACACCTGGTATATGAATGGTTCAAAAAGTGCGTGCTTAATTTGTTACAAATAATCATTATTAAGCTCCTTTATATTAGGTACTAGTAAAAGTTATTCCGTGAAAAATCAATCAAAATTCTAACGGTTAAGTTTAAAAATAACCGCTTTTTTCAGACTATAATTATTTTTCCTCAACAAAAACATTGACAACTTAAAACTAATAAGTGCCTTGGTAATTTACAGTTTCGTTATCACTGAATATTTTTTTTACCATCCCCCCTCTATATCTATTTAACCATTTAAGCCCAGGTAAAAAGAGAAGGATGGACGGTAGCGCGTTTTAAACTATTAAATAACGTATCATTTATAGTACCCTTTATAATGTCACTCGAATACGATTCTTCTTGGTACTTAGATTATCTTTCAAGTGTACATTTTATTATGTATATATAGATTTGAGGTACTTTGTCCATCAATCATGCGTTACGAAAAATTTCTTTGCGACAATTATAACGACCGCTCCTGGAGTTTGTTTATACAAATAAGGACTATTGTCTGTTGATTTGTGATAATAAGTGAATAATACAGTGTGTGAAGTTAACAGGTAAGAAATTCGATAAGATTAGTTTTACAAGTGTTTTTCTATCAATAATTCAAACATAAAAATGTCACATTATAGTGAAAGCATACCGCTTTTAGTTAAAAAAACTTTTAATTATTCAGTTGAATCAATCGAATCGAGTGCTTCTTCAGTAGTAAGTTTAGTGAATCTGAAAATCAAAAATTTGTAAATTTTTGAGTTTTGTAGATCTACACCAAGCCCGCCAAAATGTCGAAAAAGCAATGGTTCGTGTTGCTTTGCCTCTACGTCATGTATATTTTGGCAGGAGCGGCGATATTTTTCTACATTGAGGCCAAGGAAGAGCACAAGAGGGCTTCCGAGGAAATTGCTGAGAGAAAAAATATCGAAAGTGAGTGTTTGTTAAAATTTTGAAAATTTAAGTGCTTCGTGGTAGATAATAATCGTCTCGTCTGTAGGATAATGAATGAAAGTCGAGTTCCCATTCATTGGATACTTTGCTAGCTAAGACTGGTTTTTCTAATTCAATCTTGTTATTGATGCACTAAAGTTCGAAACCGGTATGTAGCTATCCAATGAATAGAAACTCTATTTCCTTCTCTGATGATACAGATGGTGTTACAAATTATCGAGTAAAATATATTATACGCTATTAGAAAGAGTATTAAATTCTCTATAATTCTGTGCTAACTTGAGTTTGATAGCTCAAATACTTTTTGAGCAATTGAGCCTTTAAAATTATCAAACTCAATTTTCTCAAAAACTATAAACCTGCAGGTTTTCTAGAACTCAATCGAAGTTACAATTTCTGGAAATTTTGTTTCAATATCTCTGACGACGGATTTCCACATATTGAAGCTCAAGATTTTGAAAAAATGAGAAAAATCGAAATTTTAATTTTTTAAATTTTTCGAATTTAACTTCTCCAATCGATAGAGCGGGTCTAAATTATTCGAAAAAAACCGTAACATAATTTCCAAATAACCAATTTAAGGAGAAAAGAAATGTAATTTTTTGTTTTTGAATTTTTTTGAAATATGACAAGGTTAAGAAAAAATACCAATATTCAATTAAAATTTGAAAAAATCAAAATAAACTATACACTTTCAGCAAGAGCAATAAATTCTCTATAAATCTGTGCTAAATTGAGTTTGATAGATCAAGTATTTATGAGCCTCAAAGTAGAGTTTTAGTCGAAAACTTCAAACTCGATTGTCTCAAAGACTATAAGCCTGAAAACATTTTCCAATACAGGTTTGTTGAACCTTAATAGGAGCTACAATTCCTGAAAATTTTGATTCAATATCTCTTTTGGATTTCAAGATATTGAAGCTTGAAGATTTTGAAACAAAGATCCACGGCAATCAAAAATCGTTAATAGTCAAAATCATGATTATTTGGTACCCTTCTACTCTATCATGGAATAATTGTCCAGCAAATTAAGTTGGTAAAAATTCAAATTTTGATTATTACCGGCTCTTGGATTGGCTGCACAAATTTTCTAGAGGATATCAAGAGCCGGTAGTCCCTTAGACCATATAGCACAGAACAATTTTTCTGACGGCAATCAAGAATCTTTAATAGTCAAAATCATTATTATTTGGTACCCTTCTACCCTATCATTGAAGAATTATCCAGCAAATCAAGCTGGTGAAATTCAAATTTTGATTATTACCGTCCCTTGGATTTTGGATTGGCTGCACAAATGCTCTAGAGGAAATCGAATAGTCCAAATTCTGGATTATTGACTATGATCGCTGTGGTTGGAAAATTTTTCTGACGGCAATCAAAAATCGTTAAAAGTCAAAATCACGATTATTTGGTACCCTTCTACCCGAAGAATTGTCCAGCTAATCTTAATCAAGCTGGTAAAAATTCAAATTTTGATTATTACCGGCTCTTGGATTTTGGATTGGATGCACACATTTTGTAGAGGAGATCGAGAGCCGGTAATAGTCCAAATTCTGGATTATTGACCATGATCGCTGTAGTTGGAAAATTTTTCTATAACGGCAATCAAGAATCGTTAATAATAGCAAAATCATGATTATTTGGTACCCGTCTACCCTATCATAGAAGAATTTTCCAGCGAATCAAGCTGGTATTATAATTCAAACTTTGATTATTATCGGCTCTTGGATTTTGAATGGGAGCACAAATTTTCAAGAGGAAATCAAGAGCCGGTAATAGTCCAAATTCTGAATTATTGACTATGATCGCTGTAGTTGAATAATTTTTCTGACGGCATCAAAAATTGTTAATAGTCAAAATCATGATTATTTGGTACCCCTTTACTGTATCATGGAAGAATTGTCCAGCAAATCAAGCTGGTAAAAATTGAAATTTTGATTATTACCGGCCCTTGGATTTTGGATTGATGGTTGCACAAATTTTCTAGAGGAAATCAAGAGCCGCTAATAGTCCAAGTTCTGAATTATCAACTATGATCCCTGTGGTTGGACACGTTCTATTGGCAATCAAGAATCATATAGGGTAATTTATGTTCGATGGTAGTTTTGAAGCTTATGGAAAACGGAATGTTGGATGTTTTTGAAAGTTTGCATGCCCAAGTAATTGCTCCTGATCTATCATTCTAAAATAATTTCAACGACGTGGCCGCCTATACCAAAAAGTAATATAAAGTTTGATATTTTAAATGAGACACCTTGTATATTATTGCATTTTCCACTCCGCTATTACTTTCTGATTATTTTTCTATAATACTGTCCTATAGCTATATCTAGTGATTTTCGACTTATTAATTAATTTCGCTATTTTTTCTTCAAGTCCTGCCCATTACTTTTGAGCAAGAAAATTGGTCAACATTATACAGAGTTGGTCAAAATTAGTAATTGTGTTGCCAGGTACAGAAAAGATGGGAAGTGCACTTTTTCAAATAGAGCACCCTGTATATTATGAAATATTATAAAAGGCAATTAAAATCCCTTAGAAATGATGCATCATTTTCCTATAAATAAACAGTAAGGTTTTCAAAATGCAAGTTTCTGTTAGAATTGGATTATTTTGGGATATTTGTCTAATGGATGGCGTTTCCGATTGCTAGACTCAATTCGCACTGAGTGTATTTCCATCTCTATCTCTCAGCCTGTTGAAGAAACAGATAGAAATACATTTTTCCTGCACTCATTCTATGGCCGAGTTCGTTTTTGTCATCTTTTTCGTCGATTTGCTCCGAAATTTTGACAGACATGTGACTGAATAAGACAGTTTCAATTTACAAATCACGTGCCTGACAAAATTTCGGAGCGAATAGACGAAAAAGATGACAAAAACGAACTCGGCCTATGTTTACGCTTAAACGCCATTGAATAGCTATGAAATGTCACGACGAAACATAATAGGTACCTAATTAAAACCACGTGATTTTCTACAATGCCAAAATTGACAGGATGGAAATAGTTACAATGGCTCTTGAATGGACTCTCTCTCCCAAATAGTTTTTATGCTATGACGCCTCAAACCTAAAATCAAATTTTGATTATTCCCGGCTCTTGGTTGGGATAAAGTACCTACTCCATTTTGTAAGCTTTCAATGTATGAGAAAAAAAATGGTGATATTTTGAGCTAATCCAAAAGTCCAGAATAATCAATGGACGAACTCTTTATCTCAAATAGTTTTTCTGAAACTCTATCATATAAACAAATAATTTTTATTCTCGGCTCTTGATTGGCATAAAGAATGCCATTTTCTTTCTAATTCCCAGTGAAGATGCCATTTTGTAGCCTTCCCATGTATAAAAAACAAAATGGCGACATTTGAAGCCAATCAAGAGCCGGGAATAATTGAAATTTTGGAGCAGCTCAGCTAATAAATAAAATGCTTTACATTTTAACATAAAAGCTTAACTATTACCTGCTTTTTATTGGTGTACAATTTCGTATTGTTTTCCTGAAACTCAGTAGAAAGCCTATAAAGTAAGTAATATGCATTATAATAAACAAATAATTAATATTCTCGGCTCTTGATTGGCATATAGAACGCCATTTTCTTTGTTATACTCACTGAAAACGCCATTTTCTAGGCTTACCATGTATTAGAAACAAAATGGCGACATTTGAAGCCAATCAAGGGCCGGGAATAATTGAAATGTTGAAGCATCTTATGTTTTACACTTCGGCATGAAATTTTGATTATCCTTGATTGTCATATTGCATCTCAAAATGATTTCAATAAAGAGCCCAGAAACATGCAAAATGATTCAAAAAACTGTCCACTTAACTTTAATAATGTTTCAAACATTAGAGATATTATCTGTGCTATTCAACTAATTTATAGTTCTACCCAAGTAACATTTTTTCGTCTTCTAACGTTATCTGCACCTATTTCAACGTCAGAATAGGTTCATATATTAGTCGTAATACGACTTCACAGCTACAGTCGCAGTACAACGTCGGCACAACGATGCTTCGACCACGCAAGCCGCCTACGAAAATTAAAGTAGCTTACGAGTAACTTGCCAACGTTGGCGGGACGTCCTTTCTCAACTGAAATATTGATATTGTCACGTGGTTTCAATTACCTAATATGTTTTATCGTGATATTTCATAATCATACAATGGCGTTTCCGGTTGGTAGAATATGAGTGCAAAGTAAATGTATTTCCATTAGTTTCTTTCACAGGCTGAAAGAAAGAGATGGGAATACTCTCAGTGCGAATTAAATCTACCAATCGGAAACGCCATTAGACAAATATCCCAAAATAATCCAATTATTCTAAGAAACTTGCTTGTATTTCCGAAACCTTACTATTAAAATATAGGAACATGAGACACCATTTGTAAGGGATTTTAATTGTCTTTTATAATATTTCATAACATACAGAATACATAAAAAAGTGCACTTTTCATCTTTTTTGTACCTGGCAGCACAATTACTAATTTTGACCAACCCTGTATAATGTAGGACAATTTTTTTTGCTCAAAAGTAATACATATGTAGGTGCAGGACCTCCCTACATTATCGAATGTAATACCACAAGAGGTTTCGGGATTACCGGATAATACTTTTACCTGTCACGAAACGCGTTACGCAGCAACACCACGACTCCGAAGGAGGAGTGGTGTTGCTGGTAACGCGTTGAGTGTCAGGTAAAAGTATTAGGTAATCTTGAAAAATCGAGTGGTATTCAAAAGGTTATACAACGAACTAAACTTTAATACCTTATTAATTTTTCATTTTTTTCTATTTCTATTTTATTCTTTACATTACTTTTTGGTATAAGCCGCAACGTCGCATCGTTGAAATTTTAGAATGATAGATCAGGCAATTACTATTGGGCATGCAAATTTTCAAAAACATCCAATACTCCGTTTTCCATATAAGCGCGTCTAACGTACCATCCATCGACCATAAATCACTGTATAGTCAAA